CAGTTTGCTGAGAATGATGGTTTCCAGGTTCATCCATGTCCCTACAAAGGACACGAACTCATTGTTTTTGATGGCTGCATAATATTCCATGGTGTATATGTGTCTATGGCATTTTGTTATGGCAGCTCGAGTTAAGACAAGGTGACTGTGGGACCAGTGGTGAGTTATGGGGTCTTGGGAGGTCAGTGATGGAGGTTTGTGAGGTCAGAGGTGGGAGGTCTATATGAGGCCGATGGGGGTCTGTGGGGTCATAGGGCATCTCTGGGGTTAGTAATTAAAGATCGCTCAGTATTAGAGTCAAGATCTTTTATTTCCCGATTTAAAAAATTGCCACCATCATAGACCTCCTGGCTTCTCTTGTATCTGTGTCCCAATGGCTCCCAGCAGTGCCTCCACACAGCCCCTTTCTTCCCCGTCTCATGCCCACCCATGAGCCAGAGTGTACAGATCAATTAGCTTTGTCCCTCCAACCTGTGGGAGCAGGACTAGGCTCTTCTGGCAGGTGGAGAGCTCCTCCTTGGCCAGCATTTGAGCCCGGTCCACCACTCCTCAGTTCTTCTTGCTCTTGACTTTCGTGGCCTTGGCATCCAGCATGCTCTGGGCATGAGTGAGGTGCTTCACAGCATCAAGCACGAGGACTCCAGGCAGCACCAGCCACAGGCTGTTCATGAAGACAAAGTAAAACCAGAAGTGGAGAGGGTGGCCCAGCTCCCCGTGCTGGAATCCGTCACGGTGCTCCGTCAGGAAGTAGAGCACATCCCCATAGATCTGACCTGTGGGTAGCAGGAGGGAAAGGAGAAGCCCCTGTGAGGAAGGGGAAGCTTTCCCCATCTCTATTCCAAGGCACTTTCCAAGTTATCATTTAGGGTCTCAGAGCTAAGTATTCTGAAATCCTAAAGATGAAAATCTAAGAAATCAGAAAAGTGGGATTCCAGACGGCAGAAAGCTGAGAATTTCTGAACTCAGGAGAGCTCACACCTTCAGATTTAAGGAAGTTCAAAATCCTAGAATCAAGATAGCTTAGGATTCTGGGACTAAAGATAACTCATATCTCTAGAACTAAAGAAAGCTAACAATTTAACAACACAAGACGACTGAGGCCAGGCACGGTGGCTCAAGCCTGTAATCCCAGCACTTCAGGAGGCCAAGCCAGAAGGATTGCTTGAGCTCAGGAGCTTGAGACCAGCCTGGGCGGCATGGCAAAACTCCGTCTCTACTAAAAATACAAAAATTAGCCAGGCACGGTGGCACATGCCTGTAGTCTCAGCTACTCAGGAGGCTGAGGGGGGGAAGATTACTTGAGCCTAGGAGGTGGAGGTTGCAGTGAGCCGAGATCATGCCATAGCACTCTGGCCTCAGTGACAGAGCCAGACCCTGTTTTTAAAAAAAGATGACTGAGCCGGGCGTGGTGGCTCATGCCTATAATCCAAGCACTTTGGAGGCCAAGGCAGGTGGATCATCTGAGGTCGAGAGTTCAAGACCAGCCTGACCAACATGGTGAAACCCCGTCTTTAAAAAAAAAAAAAAAAAAAAAAAAAAAAAAAGATGACTGAATCTTACAGGAAAGGATCTCAGAGTCCTGACTCTGGAGGTTCCAGGGGCTTCCTGCCACCCTGAGCCACCTCATATAACCTTCACAGGAGACTCTGTGATGGAGGAAGAGGAGGAGGAAGAAAAATGAACCCTCCCCACCTAAGAGCACAGGCTCAGAGAAGGGCATGGCCATTCCAGAGCCTCAGGGGGTTTGTTACTGAGTCTGACTCATCCTTGGAAGGGCACCATTGAGAGATCCCACCCACAGGGATGCACCTGTGTCTGTGGGTCCCCCACCTAGTGCCCAGTGCCTCTCTAGTGCCCTCTCCTCACCCACAGAGACCACGAGCTGTAGAACGAAGCGTAGGGGATGCTGGCGGAGAAAGGCAATCACCACCCACAGGCTGAGTGGTCCCCAAAGGCAAACTGTGATGCTCTCCATGCACACTGTGAAGTTGTCACCCCTGTGGGAGAAAGCATGAGGGGACACTGGCATTGCTGTGCTCTTCCCACAGGTGACCCCTTTGGTGCTCCCCAACTCACCATCCCCTCCAAAACCAATGCCACTCTCCACCGACAGAGGCAAACACTTACAGGATGTATCGGCTGTCTCCCTTGGAATATTCTTTCCCTGAAGAAAAGAGACAGGAAGAATAAAGGCAGGGAAAGGAACCCACATTTGTGAGAGCTGGGGGCCCCTGCAAGCAACTTCACAACCTTCCCACATGTCCGCTTCCTCATCAGTGAAATGGGGTAACTGTTTGGATTCTAGTGGTTTATCTAAAACAAGGTAGTGTGTGCAAAGCCTGACACAAAACAGTGCAGCTGTGACTAGTACTCAAGAAATGTGTATGGCATAAAAGGAGGCAGGTGTAGATGATGGGAGGGAGTGAAGTAGCTAATGAGACAGAGAGAATGTAGGTGAACAGATGAGTGAATAAAAGAATGAGCAGAGTAGCCAGGCGTGGTAGTGTGCACCTGTAAGCCCAGCTACTTGGGAGGCTGAGGCAGGAGAATCACTTAAACCTGGGAGGCAGAGATTGCAGTGAGCGGAGATCACGCCACTGCATTCCAGGCTGGGCGACAGAGTGAGACTCCATCTCAAAAAAATAAAAAAATAATATATTAAAAAAAAGAGCAGAGAATCGGGCTGGGCGTGGTGGCTCATACCTGTAATCCCAACACTTTGGGAGGCTAAGGTGGGATGACGGCTTACATAAAGGAGTTCGAGACCAGTCTGAACAATATAGTGAGACCCCATCTCTACAAAACATACAAAAATTAGTTGGACATGGTGGCATGCACCTAAGCTGAAGTGGGAGGACGGCTTGAGCCCAGGAGGTTGAGGCTGCAGTGAGCTCAGCCTGCACGACAGAGTGAGACTGTCTCAGGAAAAGAAAGAAAGAAAGAAAGAAAAAGACCATCCAATATAAAACTAGGCAGAAGACTTGAATAGGTTATTCACAAAGAGGATTTCTAAATGGCCAATAAGCACATGAAAGATGTTCAAACTTCCATTAGTCACTATGGAAAAGCAAATTAAAACCAAAATGAGATAGCACTCACATTTACTGGAATGACTAAAATTTAAGAAACATCTGACCAGCTGGGCTCAGTGGCTCACATCTGTAATCCCAGCACTTTGGGAAACCGAGGCAGGTGGATCACCTGAGGTCAGGAGTATGAGACCAGCCTGACAAACATGGTGAAACCCCGTCTCTACTAAAAATACAAAAATGAGCTGGGTGTGGTGGCACATGCCTGTAATCCCAGGTACTCAGGAGGCTGAGGTAGGAGAATTGCCTGGACCTGGGAGGCGGAGGTTGCGGTGAGCTGAGATTGTAGCACTGCACTCCTGCACAGGCGACAGAGTGAGACTTGGCCTCCAAAAAATAAAAAACCAAAAAAAAATCTGACCATAATAAGTGTTGGCAAGGATGTGGAGAAACCAGGACTCTCCTACGTTGCTGGTGGAAATATAAAATGGTGAAACCATTTTTGAAACACAGTTTGGTAGTTTTCCATAAAATTCTATACACACGTACCTTAAAATCCAGCCATTCCACTCCTATGTATTTACCCAAGAGAAACGAAAGCAGATGTCCACATAAAAACTTGTATTAGAATGTTCATAGCAGCTTTATTCCTGAGGCCAAAAAACACTATTGTATATTTATTTATTATTATTTTTTGAGATGGAATCTCGCTCTGTCACCCAGGCTGGAGTGTAGTGGCGTGATCCTGGCTCATTGCAACCTCCGCCTCCCAGGTTCAAGTGATTTTCCTCCCGAGTAGCTAGGATTACAGGCACCTACCATCACGTCCAGCTAATTTTTGTATTTTCGTAGAGATGAAGTTTCACCATGTTGGCCAGGCTGGTCTCTAACTCCTGATCTCAAGTGATCCAATTGCCTCGGCCTCCCAAAGTGCTGGGATTACAGGCTTGAGCCACCGCGCCCAGCCTATTTTATTTTTTTTTGAGACAGAGTCTTGCTCTGTTGCCCAGGCTGGAATGTAGGTGCGTGATCTTGACTCACTGCAACTTCTTCCTCCTGGGTTCAGGAGATTCTCCTGCCACAGTCTCCTGAGCTCGGGGATTACAGGCAAGCGACACCACGCCCAGCTGATTTTTGTATTTTTAGTAGAGACAGGTTTCACCATGTTGGCCAGGTTTGTTTTGAACTCCTGGCCTCAAGTGATCCACCTGCCTGAGCCTCCCAAAGCGCTGGGATTACAGGCATGATCCACTGCACACAGCCTTGTTTATAATGGCAGAAGACCGAGGAAAAATGCCCATCAATACTAGACAAGTCAAATAACTGTATAATGTCTGTTTCAAAAGCTCTTTATGAAATCATGAAGAGTGACCTCATTAAAAAAAGCAGCCGGGCGTGGCGGCTGATGCTTGTAATCCTAGCACTTTGGGAGGCTGAGGTGGGCAGATCACTCGAAGCCAGGACCCCATCACTAAAAAAATATGTTGTTTTAAAAAATTAACTAGGTGTGGTGACACATGCTTATAATCCCAGCTACTAGGGAGGCTGAGGCAAGAGGATTGCTTGATTGCCCAGGAGTTCAAGGCTGCAGTGAGCTATAATCATGCCACTACACTCTAGCCTGGGTGACAGAGCGAGACTCTGTCTCAAAAAAGAAAATGGCTTCTTTGGTTTTCTTGTAAGGAAAAAAAGAAAAAGAGAAAAGATCAGAAGTATATATAGCATGTTATCATTTGCATAAAAAGGGAAAAATGCAAACAATGATAATAATAATAGTGAATAGTTACATGGCATCCACTGTCTGCGAAACACTCTTCTAAGTATCTTACATACAGCCGATTATTACTATTATCCCCCTTTTACAATTGAGCAAATTGAGATTTACAAATGTAAATAAACTGGAAAGAAACATAAACAACTATCAATGGTGTCTGGCCGGGCATGGTGGTTCATGCCTATAATCCCAGCACGTTGGGAGGCCGAGGCGCATGGTCAGGAGTTTGAGACCAGCCTGGCTTACATGAGGAAACCCCGTCTCTACTAAAAATAGAAAAATTGGCCAGTTGTGGTGGCAGGCGCCTGTAATCCCAGCTACTAGGGAGGCTGAGGCAGGAGAGTCGTTTGAATCCAGGAGGTGGAGGTTGCAGTGAGCTGAGATCACTCCACTGCACTCCAGTCTGGGCGATAGAGCAAGACTCCATCTCAAACAAACAAACAAACAAACAAAAAATACCAGTGCCTAAAAGTATTTGGGGAAACTTGGTGGATAGAAAGATTTTCACTGCAAATCTCTTTAAATGGTTTTTTGACCCATGTGACTATACATGGAACAAAAAAGTTAAATAAGGCTGGGCACAGTGGTGGGTACCTGTCATCCCAGCATTTTGGGAGGCTGAGGTGGAAGGACTGCTTGAGCCCAAGAGTTAAAGGACAGCCTGAACAACATAGCAAGACTCTGTCTCTACAAAAACGTGAAAATATTAGCCAGGCATAGAGCTATGTACCTATACTCCCAGCCACTGGGGAGGCTGAGGCGAGATGATCACTTGAGCCCAGGAGTTGGAGGCTGCAGTGAGCTATGGCAGTGAGTTATGATCATGCCACTGTACTCCAGCCTGGGCAACAGAACAAGACCTTGTCTCAAAAACAAGTTATCTACCAGTTTTGGAGAAGGCCAAAAAAAAAAAAAAGAACGATAATAATTACAATTTTCTTTTAAGACAAAGTCTCACTCTGTTGCCCAGGCTGGAGTGCAATGGTGCAGTCTTGGCTCACTGCAACCTCTGCCTCCCAGGTTTAAGCAATTCTCCTGCCTCAGCCTCCCGAGTAGCTGGTGCATGCCACCACACCTGGCTAATTTTTAGAGACGGGGTTTCACCATGTTGGCCAGGCTGGTCTTGAACGCCTGATCTGGTGATCTGCCCACCTCGGCCTCTCAAAATGCTGGGATTACAGGCATGAGGCACCGTGCCCAGCTAATTTTTGTATTTTTAGTAGAGATGGGGCTTCTCCACGTTGACCAGGCTGATCTCAAACTACTGACCTCAAGTGATCCTCCTGCTTCAGCCTCCCAAGGTGCTGGGATTACAAGCGTGAGCCACTGCACCCGGCCCATAATAAATTTTTTAAAAGGTTAAATAAAAAATTAAAATAAATCAAATGGAAGAATAGGTGGGTAGGTAAACATCCAAGCCAATCCCTGCTCTGCAAATCCCCTCCCACAGCATATGAAAGAACTCAGGACTCACAGAGTTGGGATAAGAAGGCTTGGTCTCCAAGCAGGTCCTCGTAGTAGAGAATGAACCAGCCCTCAATCACCAGGTGAATGAACCCACACACTGCAAACCAGCACAGGGACAGTCGCCGCCAAGTCCCCAGTGGGACCACTGCAGCACGACCCGACAACAGCCATGTGGTCACAACTAAGACCCCTGTGACAGAGAAGAGGCCAGCCAGTATATGCCAGGTGGGGCGGTCATTAGGCACGAAGTTGTCCAGTCTTAGGTGCTGAGGCCAATATGGGTGCAAAGGGCCCGCGTTGGTAGTCATGTCTTTGTGGGCTGATGGCTTCGTGTGGATAGGCAGGAAGTTAAAAAAAAAAAAAAGGAACAGGAAAACCTGGACAAATAGAAAGCACAGAATGAGATAATAAAATTTGAATAGTTTATTACCAAAGAAATATAAAAGGACCGAATTTACCAGTTAACAGACAGGACTGTAACATTTCTAATTACATTCTGTTTTAAGAGTATGACCAAGGCCAGGCACTACGGCTGGTAATTCCAGTGCTTTGGGAGGCTGAGGCAGGAGTATGCCTGAGGCCAGGAATTCAAATCCAGCCTGGGCAACGTAGCGAAACTCTGTCTCTAAAGAAATAAGAAAATTAGCCATGTGTGATGACGCATGTCTGTAGTCCCCAGCTACTAGGTAGGCTGAGGCAGGAGGATCGCTTTGAGCCCAGGAGTTCAAGGCTGAAGTAAGCCGTGATGACATCACTGCACTCCAGCCGGAGACTCTGCCTCTAAAAAAGAAAAGAATGCCGGGTGCTGTGGCTCACGCCTGTAATCCCAGCATTTTGGGAGGCGGAGGCGAGTAGATCACTTGAGCTCAGGAATTCGAGACCAGCCTGGCCGACATGATGAAACCCCGTCTCTGCTAAAAATACAAAAATTATCCAGGTGTGGTGGCTGCACCTGTAGTTACAGCTACTTGGGAGGCTGAGGCAGGAGAATTTCTTGAACCCGGGAGGCGGAGCTTGCAGTGAGCAGAGATTGCGCCACTGCACTTCAGCCTGGGCATCAGAGCAAGACTCTGTCTCAAAATAAAATAAAACAGAAAAGAAAAGAAAAAGAACATGACTGAAATATAAGGCCACAGAAAGACTGAAAGCTTGTTCCAGCCCTCTAGGAGCCATATCATAATGTGGTAGAAACAGTCCTGATCTCAGTCCTTGGGGGTCAAAGTCTGGTGGGAGGCACATGGGAACAACACCTGATCCCAGCCCTCCCTGTCAGAGTCTGGCGAGGGAGATACAGGACCAGGCTTGGTCTCTTCCTTCAAGGATCACAAACTGGTCACGACCACCAAACCCAGTCCTGTGCTCCGGAGTCACGGTTTGGTAAGAGACACAGGAACCAGGCGTGGTCCCGTTGCACGGGTCAGCGTCTTGGACTGTTCAACAGAAAGCTATTCCCTCCCCCTGCCGTCCCCGTAGTCCTGAAAACTGCAGCTGGGGGACAGAGGAAAGAAAACGAATCAGAACTACAACCTTCAGTGCCGGCGTTTGGAAAGCCAGAGCCTCCTCGCGAAAGCTTGCAATGCCGTCAACCTGCCGGGAAGTGGCGGAAATTGAAAGGCTAGTATCGGGCAAGGAGCGCTAGAGCGGAACACAAAGCCCTCCAATCCGAACCAGACCCCTCCAGTCCTCCTGCCCAATGAGAAGGCGGATCTTGTCGTCCGGACAACCGTGCGGTAGCAGGGGGTCTCGCGCCGGCGAAAGGGGGCGGTGGGGGGGGATGGCAAAGGGTCTCGCGCAGGCACGCCGCCGAGGGCTGGCTGCAGAGCCTGGGAGAGCTAAGAGAGGGAGCAGGGTGCCGGGTGGAGGGCACTCACCCAGCCGCGAGACGGTAGCGGCCTCCTGCAGGACTCCGGACTGTCTCTGTGTTGGCCCTGGAGCTCTGTCACATCCCTAGTTCGGGCTCACCCCCCTCGTAGGTTCCCTCGCCTTATGGAGCGGGCCAATGGCGAAGCGAAGAAGGCGGCCTGTGCCGCTCCCAACCAATAGGCGTTCTCTGTGTGCTGCTGGCCCCGCCCCCACGCGTGGCGCCATTTTCACCTGAGTCAGGTTTGGGGTGGAGACTGGGGCAGGCCAAGGTTGGTGGGCGTTTTGCGTCCGTAGCCAATCTGCATCGAGTAGTCCTGGCTTCAATTTCCCCATTCCCTCTTCAGTCGGTCAAAACAGGGACTCATTAAGGGCTGCATCCTCATCATCTGCTGGTGAAATCAGCTTTGCGTTGCATCCTCTCACCTCCGCCCTTTTCTAAGTAGAGTAACCCTCATCATAATGCAAGGAAAGTGTTACAGGCAGATCACATCCTGTACACTGCAACCACCCCTTCCCCAGCTCTTATGTGCTCAGAACTCCTCAGTTCTAATAGCGATCATTCTCTCTTCTCCCAACCACAAGTCAGAAGAACTAATCAGAACCCAAGCCTCTGAGTCCTACTGGCCAATTGGCATGAAGACCCTCAATCTCCCTGTGCCAATTCTAAAAAGTCAATCAAATGCCTAACCACCAGTGGGCCCCCAGACGGAGCAATCAATCAGAATCTAGACCCATCCCAGATCTCCCTTCCAATTAGAACCCACAACCCTCAGTCCTAAGGACAAATAGGCACCCATCCGTCATCTCTCTTGCTTTCTCTCCTCTGTGTCCCACTCAGAACAACCAATCAGAATGGAGATCCTTCAGTTTTCCAGCCAATCAGGCCTCCCCAACATCCAACTATACAATCTGTCCCTGCCCTACTCACACCAAGCTGGACCAGGACCCTGCCATCTTCAGGCTCATCATCTAATCTAACAATCATAAACTAACCATGAACCAATCGTAGTCTGCTCTCTTCTCATGGTTTCTAGCTTCCAAACCTTTATCTATGCTGTGCCCCCTTCCTCACTCATTCCTATTCCCCTCTGAGTAGTGAAGAAGAAGCCTATTGTATATTTCCTACTTTTATTTGACAATAACAAACTGTATATAAAAAGGAAGACAGAAGGCGGGGAGGCCCTGGATCTCCCCCTCTCAGTTTCCCCAAGTGTCCCCCACCCCTAGGTCCCAGCAGGGACTACCCCCTTCCCGCCTTGTGGTGGGGTGGGGATTGACAGGCATGGAAATAGTGTGACTGTGTGTGTGTGTGTGTGTGTGTGTGTGTGTGTGTTAAGGTGTTGGGAATCAAGGATGGAGAGGGCCAAGGAGTAGAGAGAGGGCCTTCCCTCATCTTCCATCAGTGGCACCCTGAGAGGGGTCTTAAAAGGGTTATTAGGGTCCACAGATGTGCCTCAGCCTATGAGACGGTAGAAGATCCAGCATCCAAAAGTGACCCAATGACTGGCCCAGTTGAGCTCTGACCACTTGTGGAGAGTGTATGCCATGCCGTAGCCCTGTGGGAGAGAAAGAGGTGATGGTCCCACTCAGCAAGGACAAAGAAGGTCTCAGGAAAACCCATCCTTTGCCCAAGGACATTTCTATGATTACCCTAGGTGAGGCCCTGCAGAAGGGCCTACGTACATATGAAAGGTGACCAGATATAGTTTTTGTCTTCTTTAAAAATCATTTTAAAAACAAAGTGATCCCATTCTCTGGCCTGTTATCTCCCAAACATATAAAGAGCTCCTAAAAATTTTGAGAAGGTGAATAACTCATCCCAGTAAAGGAAAAACAAAGATGCTCAGCCTCATTCATAATCTTCCTCTTTTAATTGTTTTTTTTGAGACAGGATCTCATTCTGTTGCCCAGGTCAGAGTGCAGTGGCATGATCTCAGCTCATTGCAACCTCTACCTCCCGGGTTCAAATGATTCTCCTGCCTCAGCCTCCCGAGTAGCTGGGATTACAGATGCTGTGCCACCATACCCAGCTAATTTTTGTACTTTTAGTAGAGACGGAGTTTCACTATGTTGGCCAGGCTGGTCTCAAACTCCTGATCTCAAATGATCCACCTGCCTCGGCCTCCCAGAGTGCTGGGATTACAGGTGTGAGCTGCTCCACCAGCCATCTTCTTCTTTATTGAAGTGGCAAACAAATCCAGGAAGTTTGAGAGGCACTCTATGCTGGTGGGGCAGCAAGCACATTCATGCATTGCTGGTGGGAGAGCACAAAAGTACTACTCCATTGAGACTATCAGGAACAGATCCTACAGATCTGTCTGCACCTGTGTGGATCCACGTGGGTACAGAGTTCCTGCTGCAGCATCACTTGTAATAGGAAAGGACTAGAAATCACCTGATGTCCACCAATAAGAGAAAAATTAAACTGTGTTACATCCTCGCAGTGGAAAAAATGAATGAAGACACTATATACTGATGTGGAAGATTTTCAAAAATTGCAGAATAGTATCATTCGTGCGTTATCTTTAGGGTAAAAACTCGGGGGGTAGAATTTAAA